AAAAAAAAAAAGGAAATAATCCAACAAAATGACAAAAAAAAGGAAGAAAACCTGGATTATCTGCCCGAATGTTATAAACTGCGCAATCTGCGGCGGAACCCGTATACGCAATGACCGTAGCATGTAATAACTGAAAAGTTTGGTGCACACCCTCAATCATCAGAAGAATTTTCATCAAAAAAAGACACAGCTAGCAAACACCCGTAAAAAATCAGAAGGCCCAAGAAGTAAATGACGAGCAAGTGATGATACCTGTACATGAAGGAATGGACGATAAAATTTGGCCAGACAACCCAAATCATATAGGCATTTTTGTTGCCATACGTGACAAAAGCGAAGTAACCGGTCAGTGCATGATGGTACCAATGCATCAGCATCAACGGCCGTTTTCTGAGCACAATAAATATTGTATCCAGAAGTTCGGGAATTTTCGAAACAACCCAAAGAAACGTCCAGTAACCAGCAACGCTATCCGTGTAGCATGGTCCAATTTCAGTAAAAGTACCTGAACAAGCCAGTCACCGTGATGTTAATCGGGAAAAACATCGGGATTTTCAAACTCAACAAGAAAAGAAATCAAAATTTCGATCGAACTGATTATGTCTTGAATCGCTAGAACAAAAAAAATGCGACTTGAAATAACGAACTGACGAATCCTTTGCTGGCAATATGCTGAAAGAAGACCGGCGTTATTTTGGCAACACCGAGAATACTGAAAACGGCAAGAAGCGCATTCCAGATGACCAGTGGCCATTGCAGATCATACGGCTTCCTATCCCGCATAGCGTATTTGATTGCAAATATGGTAGCCACATAGGTGAACGAAATGTTCAGTACCGTCCACTCCATCTGTGATGCCCATTTGCTGGCGCTATCAAATTCGAATTTCGAGCCAAAAATGAAATCCATCGCTTCCGATGGGCTGCAAAAATAAACAAGCCTACGAAATGCAGCAACAAAATGACCACCATTCACAGCGCGCACCCTTCCCCATCCGGGGCTACAAGAGCTTCTTACAGTCAAGACAACTGACCGGTGCACCTTTGAAAATGGATATGAGCATCAAATGCCGAGGTAGAAGAATCAACAGTGGAAACAAGTGCACTGAGGTCCGACCAGCCCAATTCCGATCTCTGTCAGTCCCAAATCCCTCATCTAACCGTAGGCGGATCCAGCGGAGAAAGAGGGTTGACGGATATTTTGGCTCTCCCTTCCCCTAGCGACACAGGACCAGTGCTGCAAAAGCCTGGGTCTAAAGCTAAAATTAAAGCCTAAAGTATTTCTAAATAGCAGTGTTACAAGTCTATTCCTAGTTTTTGCATGGTTTCAGGGCAAGAGGGAACTCTCCTCCCCAATCCCGTTTTTCCACCCCTCTCCCCCAAAATCCCGTCGTGGATCCGCCTATGCATCTAAATGCAAAGAGCACGAAACCTTCCTGAGCGAAAGCAAAGTGTTCCACCAAATTTTCTCATATTATAAGGGAGGGTACGTACTTCTTTTTCCGGACTATGAATGCCCCAGAAGAATCGTTTAGAAGCTAGGAAACTGGCTCTGAAGATTTAAAAAAAAAACCGCACTGCAAATTCTTGGTGAAGGCGCTTAAAAAATGGTGCTATAATGGGGAGTTGTTTGGTTGGAAGAATATGATGTGAATAACTAGGAGGAAAAAAAAAGATTTTTTTGCTGTGCTTTTCGAATAGGTGAAGCTCGACGAGGCTCATCAGTATTCAG